TTTGTAGTTTCGACTTCATTCCAGGTTCCTCTTTAAAAAATTGGGTTAACAGTTGCTTGTTTGTATTAATACCGTCCGGTATTTTTGCTCTTCTGGAAGAACCGTACAAACTCCTAGGGAGTCTTTTTTCCAGAAGCTCCTTTGTCGTCGCTTCCGTTTTCTTTGCGTTCCGGTAATTTGTTTCTTCCGTTTCCTTTCTAGACCGGAAACTGTTCAGATCTTTATCCAGTTGCCCTGCAACATTCACTGTTACTTCCGTTATCTGGCTCTCTGAATGTAGCCCTTCGAAAAAAGATCCAATGTTTTCAAAGCATGCGTCTACAGAATCTGTCTTGTCAGTGTACGCGATTACTAAAACCTCTGCTTTGCTGTAAAACTTTGTAGGTCGTTCACTGGCATTTAGGAACTTCCTCACTTCTTCCAGGGGAACAGAAGGACGAAGTGTTCGTGTTTTCACTTTCTCTAGGAACTCTACGAGATCATTTAACTGCAGTTCCTCAAAAACGTCTCTTAACAGCTTGATTGGGGTGTCTGGAAACAATTCACTTATTCTTTGCAGCCCGTTGGGGTTCAGTTTCTCAGGGTCCAGTCCAAATGCCTTGCAAAATTGCCGCAGAGAAGTCACGTCATTTCGGAGTCTACGTGCCAATTCTTCCGTCACTGTGCTATCTAAATCTTTTAAGCAAAGATTGGAAATGGTATCTAGAAAAAAGGGAAAAATAGGAAATGCGACTAGTTAATTTCCCCCAGCAGAAAAAATAGTGTAGCGAAATGATAAAAGCAGTAATTACCCCGTCGTTTAAACGAGTTCATAAGAACTCCTAAGTGGGTCGATTCGTGGGTAAAGAAATCACAGTTTCAAAAAAAGTGCTGACTCTCAGAGTGCTTTCTCTTCGTCAGAGCGAATCGATTTAATCTGACCTCAGCTAGCGATCGTGAGGTCAGCGTCTAACCTTTCCTTATATTATCAACTCAGTAGATTAAACCAAGAGAGAATAAGGGGCCAGAGAGGCCTGAGCCTTGTCTAGACCTTGGGAGATGTGAATTTCACCAAAATTATTTTTAGGCCAATTAATTGAAACTAATCGGAAGATAGTTTTCGGCAAGGTCCAAAAATTGAAGAATTAATTCAGTCTTTTCAAGAGAGAATTCGATAGCTGCCATAAAAATATTCTGCATTGTTTGCCTTGAGGCAGTCGCGCTTGGACTTGATGACGTGTCAATCTGACATATCAGGAATTAGTATCAATGCTGCGTTCTGATTGGTTGAGCTTCCACTAGGCTATATGTTATAGCCCACTAGTAGCGAAAAGAGCGGCTTTGAAAACCAAAACAATGGCTGCTGAATCGCGTTTTGCTAGCTAAAGTTGTTTTGTCTCCATATTTTTGATCAACTAGATGGATTTTTCTAAAACGATTATTGCTCTCGCCCTCATGGCTTCTGAGTCAATAGCCCATTCAGCCTTAGGCCTCATGGGCTATTGACTCAGAGCCCATTCGGGCTCGAGGAATAATTGTTCATAAGACTTCAGTTTGAATACAACCTCTAACCATAGTTAATTGAGTGGAATGGTTATGAAATCCGTCAGACTCCTTTGTTATATGTTTTTGTGGACCTGAAAGTGCACAACGTTCAAAAGAATTCCCATCATTTTGATTGTATTGACCAATGAAAACGTTGCATTAATTTATTCCGTAACAATTTGCCAACAGAAAACAAAGGATTGTGCACTTTCAGGGTGCCTCCAACATAAACTGCAGCACTGTTGTTTTTATCACTGATGTTTGCCGCTTTTCATAACCAGTCTCCTCTAATAACTATGCTCTAACTATAACTTAGTGAAATCTTACCGCTGGCTTCCTCAGGTCCGCCAAGTTCAGAAGGAGCAGCATGTGATCTCGATATTCCACTGTCGCTTGTTTCTGTTGTGAAGCTTTGAGTATCGATATCCTTGGTTTGTGCTAAATAACTCTGAATGTAAGCGACTTTCTCCTGCCACTCCTCAATCTGCACAACAGGACCTTTACATGATAGAATTAAACCAAGTGTAAAGGAAAACAAAATAATGAACACAACTCTCTCTCTCTCCTAGACAGAGGCTCCCTCAGGGATTCCGTGAAAAAAAAAAACTATAATAATAAAAATAATTATTGTAGACGCGCGGGGAACGTTGGAAAGAGGGAAACGAGTCCCCACGCGCGCTTTCTTTTTCTCTCTTCTCAGTCTCCCTGAAACCCAAAGAAGCTTCTGTATGTGGAAAGAAAGCGAACTGACGTAAGGAAAACAGACGATCCAAAATACCCATCGAATCTTGTAGTGATTTTTCCGGGTTCAGTGCTACCCAAGTTCACAACAAAAATTAAAATGATTTTCCTCTTCTAACACTTTTCCAGTTTTAAAGATGAAATTAGGTATCATCAGTGCGTTAATGTTAACTGGAAAACTAGGGAAAAAAAACACCTTGTGCTTCTCTGATTAACTCCTCGCGGGCTTTATCGTATTCCTCTTCGTCGATGGTCACAATCACTTCCACTTGTTCTTCCCCGGTAAGTTCTCTCAATTCATCAATGAAAAACAAAGCTTGCAGGGATTCCTTAAGCGTCCCGTCTGTGTATAAACACCACAAGGCGTTAAGAGCTGAAATGTTTTCGGCTTGAACTTTGAGGATCACGCTCCCTAATGCTAGATTACAAGGCATTATCATTATCGTTTAAGAGTTACATCAACTGTTAGAGCTGATTGGAATAGGACGAGCAATTGCAATAAATGGATGTTATGCTCTGAAGTAGGACAATATTCTTGAGGTCAGTGCTTTAGTTCTTCTTTTTATGGTAATTTTTACATAACTTCTAATTTGGTATGCAGATTTTATATCAATGAGGAATAAGTTGAACACTTAATACTCTTAGCTCCATTGCATTTTTTTTAATTCAGAAAACAAGAACCTATTTAAGAACCTAAATAGCCTTTACTTGTGCTAATTACCATTTATATAAGAACCTGTTTAGGTTAACTTGGAAAATCCAGGTTTTTGGTGGCGAGATTTTATTGAAGTCAACGTGATGTACCACCAGCCTATCCTCACGCCCCATGCCAAATATTGACGTGGTTCATTGTGGAAACTCCCCCTTGATCATGAAAGGGAAGAGGTGTCTGAGCAAGGAGCGGAAAGAAATGGGGGAAGAAGATGGTGGGGTACCTGTGTCGTGATCATAGTTCCGTTTTCTGAATTCTTGGAAGGCAGGACAAATTTTCAAGTAAGTCGCAAACAGAAGCAGAAACTTGGAAATTCCCTTGGTCAAAATGTTGGGAAGCCTTCTTGATAGGTAAGGTTCTTTGAACTTCCCGGAACACTGAAATAAGATCTAAAGTCTGCCAATGTTTGTTCAATAGCTCAAAGATTGTGGCAAGAGCTAATTTTCCTCTCTCATTGATGTGTAAATGAAGAGTTTCCTGGGGAAGTTCTTCTGTGTTCAAATGTAGCCAGTACCCAATATCGGTTATTAGTAGTTTCGTGCTTGGAATGAGAGCCAATTTTTCGGTCAAATACCTTCGGGTCTTTCTTGAAAACTCTTTAATTTCATGGCTGTAGACAATTAAATTGTTTGTTAAAAGCACAACAAAAAGAGTAGATTCGTTATCTGCAACGCAACGAAAAAACAAAATCATTAATCTTATCTTTTTTTAATTTTATGTCTGTCTGATCAAAAAGCAAATAAACAATAAACAATAAAACGTGCAACTTGCATCTTGTTTTACAACATTGCTGCAAAACTAGTTGAAAAGTAATGTTTCGAGTTTTTCCATCCCATTTAAACCTGCCTTGTTGCACGATTACAGGCCGATAAGGCTGATCTTTGCAAAAGTCACTTAATGCCTCGTTTGGGTACTAAAATCACCCCGCGCGGGGAAAAATTAATATAGCCACACACGACGCAATCCTCGACCAAACAGAGCGCGCGAAACTCCTAATCACCAATCTTCAGTTTTCAAAAAGTGAATAACGCTTTCCACTGGATAACTCTCTATCCAGCCAGTGGACTACGCAATTGGTTTTCCTTAGACTTTCACGTGCATCCGGTGGACACAGCGTTATCTAGGGTTTGAACAACCCGAGCCTAAGTAACGGGGCCCGGGGATTATATTTTTCAAATGCCCTTTTTGACGGGTTTATTTTTGGAGGGGCTTATATTCGGAGGGGCTTATCTACGGAGGGAAATTTGCGTTTCAAAACCGATTGGGCTAGCCTTATTCTTGGAAGTAAATTTACCGTTTTTGCTTTGTTTTACTTTGTATTTGGTCCCCCCCCCCCCCCCCCTTGGTACTTGATTTGCAGGAGTGGAAATCTATGAAAGGCTATATGCCATAACCGAGTCTCTGAGATCAATTAAATCTGTTTGATAGGCAGCCAATGGAGCTGGCGCTTGAGCGTGCGCGGCTTCCTCTTTCTCCAGATGTTCATTGACCGCTTGCACGTTCTTCAATTGCGCACTGAAAAGTTCAGACTGTTTTAAAGTCTATCAGCTATCTGATCTGAAGAAGCATTAAAACCAAGATATAGCTATGACTGAGAGTTCTAACATAGGTTCACTAGTCGTGAAATGTTAAACAGTTTGCCAGTGTGTAAATATTTGATAACAGTACTGAACAGAAGATCTAATCACTCCTAACAAAAATTATCATATACTTTTCACTAATGAGAAAAATCACCGGACTTTGTCTCTGTTCAAGAGGCCGTGTCTCCCCAGCGGGGGGACGGGGGGCAGGGGGGGGGGAGTGTTAATCCCGTTATGTGAATGGAGCTTAATAATTACAAGCGCAACTTACCTCCAGCTAAATTGCTGCTGGCCGACGACGCTATCGCAGCTGCTTGTGCTGAAATAATAATAATCATAATCATAATCATAATCATAATCATAATAATAAAGTCCTTATTCATCAAAAGATAAAAATACATATCTTTCGTTACAAGTAAGTGTAAGAAATTTTAAAAAGGTAAAAAAAAATGAGAATTAAAAAATCTAGTATATTGCATAGCTAATTCATATTTAAAAACTCAACGATTAATAACTAGAGTTTTTAAAACGTACAGTGTTAATCTTAGGTTTAAAACAAGTTTCTTCCCTAAGATTGTAACTGGACGGTTTAACACGAGGCATAATAGATAAAAGTGGATGTCCTTTAGCATTAGAAACTTTTCTGAAAATTTTACGGTCTTGCCTCTCTAAGAAATCATAAACACTTGCAGGCTTAGACGTATATTTCCTTTTAAAACAGCGGTCTAAGAAACATTGTACAGGTATGTAAGATCGGACTTGGACGCGGCGTAGACAGTGCGTAATTAATAATATTACACGATATTAGGTAGAACTATTGTATTAAAGAGAAATGAAATATTTCGTGATTATATATTGAGACAGTAGACATTCGTTTGGTCCCTCTGAGTTCAAAAAATGGTCCTAAAACAGGTTATAAGGGGGAGAAAAAAGTAGAATCAGCAAAAACCGCCGCGACGGATCGTGAGGATATACCCAAAGAAGAATCTAGAACGGTAACAATACCTTTTCGCCATTCAAATTCTTCTTCTTGGTTTTTCCCGTCTTCAAATTCCTCCACTTCCCGAAGTAAATCAGTTTTCTCCTGTCGGGTCAAAATCTCCTTCAGGACTTCAAGGTGATCAATCCCTAAAGAGTCATTGTTTTCCAGCTCCTGAAACAGTGATCTAACATCTTGTATGCTGCTATGCTTTTCTTCCGGTATCCGATCATTGCAAATGGCGACAAGCTGTTCGAGACAATCGAGCTCGTCTAGAACATGAATAATTCTCTCCAGCAAGCTGTTGTATTCCTTTCGTTTACTCTCGAACGATTTGACATTCCCAAAAAGTGACCATTCTTCAAGGCCTTTTAAAAGATCTTTTAAAATATTCAATTTATCTGCACCAAGAAAACCATTCTGCTCCAACTCTACAAACAACGGGAAGACATTTTGCATGTTTTCTTCATCGCGAGGCGCCACCTTCCCTCTGCACATAACAAGTAATTGTCTTCCTACATTCAGCTCGTTCAGTCTCTCGCTTATTTTGAAAAGCAAATTGTTGTATTCGATCGCAGACATTTTGAAGACCAGACGTACTTATTCAGGTCAACTTCTACCCAACCACGGCACGCGATGTGTCAATTTCTCTCCGTTTGTGACGCGATAGAAAAGTGGACAAATCTACATGGAAAGTCACGCAAGACGAAGTTTTTCAAATATAAAGTATATATGTTGACTTACCATTTTTACAATACAAACTTATTATCATACATTACCATACCCAAGACAAAGGATCGAAAATAAAACTTAAGCCAACTACGACATTATACAAAGTAAATACCAAGCAAACTTTCGGCAATCGACTTTATACAATATATGTTTGTGTCACAACTTGAATATTTTATAAAACTCGTCACCGGGGATGATTTTTCTCTCTTAATTTTGATAACAAAAAAAGATCTAAGATTAAACATAAACAGGTTTTCTCCATGAAGTGATATAAGAATCAGGTTATAGGCATGTCGGGGCATACTGGTCAAAATGAAAAGAAAGAATTAGCTGTGGAGGCAGGCTCCGTTTTTTCAGCAGAATGGCCTTTACTTGCCGGGTTTTTATACTTTATGTATACTGATGGTTAACGCTCCGCCGATGCAGTGAAATTAAATGAGACTCACGGTTTATACATTTGGCCTAAAAAAACGCAGTCGTGATAATTAGATACATACTTCACTGGGTCTTGCTATAGTTAAGGTTCTCTTCGTGTATGGTACAGATAGTAATGTCTAAGTGAAATCAATCCTGGCAAAGAATATGAGATGGAAAACGACACTCAATAAAGTTTTATACTGGGGTGCTCCGCCCGAAGTCCAACGCCTTGTTTTTTTAAATACCATTTTTGTCCACAGAAAAGGTACCCCTCATGACAGTCTATTGACAAATGGTACCCCTTTCAAATACTTAGTTTAGAACAGTGCTTCCCTGCCCCGTCATTTTAATATGAATAAATCAATAAACCAGGAAGTTTCGTCGTCATTTTTACACCGAAATGATACATTTACCTACCCTTTCATGTACTTAAGCTTTTGTTTAACTAGTGAAATCCCTATCCTTTAACTTTCTCTGAAAAAAAAAAAAAAC